GCAGTAGACAATTCACTTTCTGGATAAATCCTTGAATTACCATCCCCAATAAATATCATTGATGATATTGAATGAGAAGTAAAGTATATTCTAGCTGTAAAGAAAGTATACCAATAGTTTAAGTATAGAGTATTATGGCTGAATACTGATAACAATCTCACCTGGTACCCTGTCTCTGACTTAAAAACTACTCTGCATCATCTTCGTGACTTTCATCTACGAAATCCCATTCTGCCAGGATCCCCTGTATACCTACCAGAATGGATTCGTTTCTATAAGAATAGAAAGAATAATTACGATTTTATAAATAATAATTAATATATAAATAAAAATAATAAAAAGAACTTCTTTAATTTATTATTGTGATAAAGAAAATCCTAATTATAAAAGGCTGAAAGTGATTGAATAAAGATGAAATATCAATAAAGAAAGTCTTTTCCCCTGCTTGGTAGGTTTAAACCAAGTTAGAAAGAAAGCTTCTACAATCATCAATAGTTACAATCAGGCAAAGCACAACAGCAAAAACTAAATAATTTAAACCAAAATATCAGCTGAGTTTCCAGCCAATAGCAATAACAAACACATATAGAACAATCATAAGCCGAAAGACAAAACAATCCTTAATCGCAGTATGCGCGATAACAAGATTGAGCTAGCACTCAATCGTATCTAATTATTCACAAATTGCTGAAAGTTTGCTTTTATTTAAGTTACAATAAGCTAGTATTGCTACTCTAATTCGTCTCCCGCACTGTAATCTCCATTACACAATACTTTGCGGTTTCTCGAGTAAGGGTAAAAAAAAGTATTTCTTTCGAAACACAATTCTTTAGCTCCTCTTGTATATCAAGTTATCTTAAGAGTTAACTTTACTAAAAACTGGCAAAAGTTGTAACTTATCTTTACTATATTGCTGTACTTAGCAATAGCCAATCGATATTGGAGAAACATCTTGTGCATATCCCCATCAGGCAAGCGCTCACATTTATACTTGCTAGCCAAATAAAGTAAACAACAAGATTAACCAAACAATTGTTCAGAAAATCAATAGTAAACATTATCTCCTTATCAGAAATACAATTGCATATATAACCAGCACAAACCCAACTATTCTCCTGAATATATTATTCCCATTATAATACCATCTTTTTTGATAACCTCTTACTTAAAGATCCCCACTCATCGATATTAACAAAACCAACACTTCTATAACAAAACATATCGAATTTGCAATCAGATTAACTTTAACACAAAACCTCCAGAATATCTTCCTTAACTATCTCGCTATTATTTTCGAAATTACAAAAATAATATACCACTACAATCAACTTATTAGCAAACTTCTTTTTATAATTATTAACATAATCAATCAAGAGATTATATTCTTCCTCCGAATTCTGCCTTGAAAAATAATAGAATGAATACATCCAATAAGCATATCGAAGATCAACCCCACTCTCAAATATATTGCCTTCGATATCTGTAATTACACTTATTAAACAAGCCAACCATAAACCAAAGATATTAAAAGAAAGCCTTACTTACATACATCTTCATTATCCAATTTATTTTCCTCATCATCCTCCTTTTCGCTAACAAGATCACTGCCACTCCTACTACAGCTCAACTCCTTCTTTTCCTTAATAGGATATTTGCCTCACACAACAAAAGAGATAAACACTCTCTTCACCACAACTATAAAGAAATATATCAGCAAAGCAAATACAAAAAAAAATAAACAATTCATTGCCACACATACATCCTCCTGTTGTTTTAATTACACTAGTAACAACTTACTCTTACTATTGTATTTTCTTAATAATATGAAAAGTATATTGATTATTAATTAAGGGATATAAAGAAAATGAATAATCAAAAAAGATTTAAAAGAGAAAGGGAAATTCAGGTGATCTATATATTTTGAAGGCTTTGTGTTATTGCTAGATTATAGAACGATTTCCTTTATTTCCCATATACCTTCCTGTTGCGAAAAAAAGCAAAATTTGTGCATACATCTGTTTATTATACTATACTATAATATAAACAACAACGCTTCATTGGGATTATCGATACATTTACGGATTAGATAATTGTAAAGCTTGAGGGCAAAGCTTTTTCGAAAAGGGAAATAGTATTACAGATCGCACCTAATTGCAGCTACGATTGCTTACATATACGTTTGCGCACATACACAATCATATGTACATAGCTAGTATATAGGAGCACTCTACAAGCGCTTTGCTCCCAATTCTGTAGTTATAAATTCTAAGAATAAATTGTACCCTGCTCTCGCAGTTCTTCTAAGGCAAAGTGTCACATTTATTAAGATATATATCAATTATATTTCGAAGATTGAATTCTTTATAGTTTTTAAAATTGTATATAAAAAATCAATCACAATTCAGAATATGAAATTAGGATTTCAAAAAAACAAGTTTAATACTCTTTAATCCAAAGCTATACTTTCGAAATTAGATATTCGAATTTATATATCTATTTTCTCTCCCCCCTTTTTCAATCTAATTAATGAATCTCTCAAACCCTTATAACCCAATTAAAGCTTTTTCTTAATCAATATTAATTAAATCTCGAATAACTTGTTATTAATCAAGCTTCTCTATATCTATATTCGAAACTGTATTAGCTTTAGCTAAAGGTATAAAGAGATTAGTTTATAAGAATATACTTTTAAATGCAAAGATTCATATACTTCGAAAAGCAAATGAGGTATTAAGCAAACATCGATATACAAAAAAAACCCAATTATACTAAGGAGGAGTATTTACTGAATAAAAGGCTTTTGATATATTATTTTAACAAAAGGTTGATATTCAGATTCAATACAACAAGCATCAAAATAAGGGAAATCCTAATAGAGAAGCATTTTCTAATAAATATTATAATAAGTGTGGAAAACCAGATCACAATTTAAGAACTTATCAAAACAATATAATAGATTCTAGATTATTAGATTCTTAATAGTTTTAATCAATTGATTTAATGGTTGTGAAATAATATGGATTTGAATACGATAATTGAGGTGAAAGTGGCCCACATGATGATATGGCCCACATAATGATAAACCACGTTACCTAGTAGTTAGTCGGGAAAAGAATACTGAAGCTTCGCGAGGAAGTAAATGCCAAGACTTACTTTACCTCTAAGCTCCGACTTGCCGACTTTCGACGACACTTTCAATTCAGGTCCATCAACCAACCACCAACTACCAACTTCAGACTCTCACACCCTTATCACGAACCTCGCAGAGTTCACTTCTCTCCATTCGCATCTATTCGCCCGTAACAAAAGCTTCACCACCACCAAGATGAAGCCCGTCGTAGGAGTAATGCAAGCTTGGTCTTGGTTCGTGCCCTGATTAATCACTGCCTAGCCTTTGTTTTCCATCATTTTCTAACTAGTGCTGTAGCATCGTCATCTCAGTATTTGCCGTCATCATCCTCTCTATCATCGGCTCTCTCTTTAAGAGCAACAATCACGCACTCTTGGGTGGAAAGGAGGACCCCGAAGACGGGGCTGCGGTCGCCGCCACGGTCTTTTCTGCTGTTGTTGTCTATGCGGTATGTTCTATTGGAGCTCTCAATGATTTCTGTTCAGACAGTCATAAATCCTTCTCATTCATCGGTAATTCCGTAGCTAATGTATGTGTGTGTCCATCAATAGGTTTTCATCGTCGGTTGCGGTTTCCAAGCTTACCTACATTTCCGCGACAATCGAAGAGGTGCTATTTCTCTTTCTTAGCAAACGATTGGCGATCAGCACTGGTATATATGAGTTAAGCATAGAATTTTGGGGTTGATTCGGCGGCGTATGGTGTTCATTACATTTTGAAACCATCTGATCGATGGAAATTGTATTGTAGGAAAGTGCGAAATGAGCTGGAATGATAATACCGGTTTATTGATTCCATGAACTTGCCACGCAAGACTCGGCGCACGACGGGATATTATCAACTTGTTTAACGCGCCTGTCTCAGCAAAGTTTCTGCATCTCTTTATCTTGGTCGAATAGATTGATATCTGGCGAATATAGCAGAGAGCGTTAGTTTCACCATTTTCCGCATCTTCCCGGGACGCCTAGGTTGTGAATGAGAAATACCCTTCAGTACTTTTACGAGCGATTCCATGCCCTCATTGCATTGCACTCTCTTGATATTCCCACCTTCAAGATGATTCTTGCAAGACTCTCACTCTGTTGTCACAGCCGGGCTGAGCGTCAACGGTACGCTAGTCAGGACAGCCTACTGTCATCTGTCAGCAGTTCGCTACTTAGATTTTCTGCTCAAACTCCTCTTAATTGTTGTCAGTTCATTTCCAGATGATACACAAATACCACGAGATCTCAATGTGACATTTGCAGAGCGAAATTTCCAAAACCTGTTCACCACCAGGAAGAAGTCGCGATCATTGCATGCCTCCTTGTGAATCATTCGACAGCATTCGAGTGGATGTATTGCTAGTTGTTGGCTTGATAGACTTCTGTGAATCTGATTCCAAAAGCTGATTGAAGATTGGGGTTTCCACCAGGAGATAAGCTTAATGTGAATATAAACAGGTGAGACAACGATATAGGATCGACTAAAGGCCTGCTATAAAGTTATATCTTGCTTCATTCTCCTTACACTGACGGTGAGCTGATACTGAAAACAATTTCTCGGGACCGTATTCCCTATTCACTTTGACGTATCGTAGAATACTCACTGCCACTGGTCCTATCCTCAGGATCTACCTTGTTGGCCACCCGCAGTCCACGCTCCGCCCCGCTCGATATCATCAACTATCTTTTTAATCTTCAAACTATAATCAGCTTCCCACCTTTCATACAACCCTTTTTCAAAGCTTTCTACTTCTATCTCCCGTTTTAGAACAACAAGAGCACAACAACAACTCGTCGACCTCGAACCAAATCCAACAATAATACGTGCTCTACAAAGACTTTAACATCATATCGCATAATCAAGTCTCAAGAAATCTACCATCAAAATGCATATCTCGGGCATCATGAAGCTCTCCCTCCTCACTTTTGCTACTCTAAGCTTTGCTGCACCAACTCCGATTACTACTCCAATGGGCGCAGCGGTTGAGTACGCTCGTGCTGCTCAAGATGTTCCAATCAATCTTGTTGAGCTTAGCAACAAGCGTGATGGTCCTATCGATCTTATTCAACTTCCGTAAGTACATACAATGAGTTTTATTTCACAATATTTAGTGCCAACTTCGTGCTTGGAAAGTCCATACATGATAGGTCCCATTCTCTGTTCTTGATAATACAGATTGTATTCCTCTGACTCCTCGAGGGGTTTTCAAGATGAGCAATTGCTAACTCCCTTGATCTTTTAGTGAGAAGCGCGATGGTCCCATTGATTTGATCCAACTTCCAAAGCGCGACAGCCCAACTAATCTTGTTCAACTAACCGAGAAGCGTCAAGATTCTCCAATTAACTTGATTCAACTTCATGGAAAGCGTCAGGATGCGCCAATTGATCTTTCCAAGCTCCCTGAAAAGCGACAAGACTCACCAATCAATCCTGTCGAACTGAGTAACCGCGAAACCACCAAGTATAGGTCCATTCGCTCTCGCAACGCCCAAGATGCTCCCATCAAACTTATCCAACTTCCTGGGAAGCGTCAGGATTCCCCCATCAACCTTGTTGAACTCAGCAACCGCGCCGAAACTGAGCTCCTAGCAGCACGACAAAATGACTGCGGTTCTTCACCTTACCAAAACCAAGAATGCAACGCTGGCACAGGCTTGAGCATTCCAGCATTTGCTGTAATCGCTATGGCTTTATGCGCCATTATGATAGTTTAATAGGGCTTGAAGTATTGGGGTTAGGAGGATCTTTATGGTATTTTGCAGGGCGTGTTATGGATGGAAGGATCTGAGGATATTTTCACATTTTGCTCATGGGCCTCACTTTGAAGGACTCATTATTGATCTGGCGTTGCACTTTTACACATGGTTTTCGGCGTAGGTATGAAATTAGGGTGGCTCTTTTCTTTTCATGGTGACTGGTTCACCAAGTGGATTCTCATACAATAGTTAGCTAGCTAAAACCCAATCTTAAGGTCGAGTGTCTTCCTATTCTGCCAGACCCTCGACATCTAGATTGGCTAAAACCTAGGTATACTTTTGCACAACCAATGAGTAAACAAATGATTTTTACAATTTTAGATCTAAAAGTTTGATGAGTGCACTAAGGTACTGCCTTCGATATTCGATATCAAGACAAAACATTTGTGGCTGTGATTAGTACTCCTTGGTTCATTACACATGTTAATTTTTTATAAATCCCATTCGATAGTCATCTTGTGATCTGACATTGAGATATCGGCTTTTTGAATGTATGGCTTTCATTTGGACACTTGGGTGATTGGGTATGCTAGCTCTTGCACCCACATGGAGAATCCATGCAGTGCCAGGCAATCTTGATATTATCATGCGGTGAACATCATACCTAGAACAAACCCCAGTGATGATCATTCTCACCCTGCATACAAGATTTATTGCATATCAAAAATGTGATAGCCATGTGATGATAATGTGACAGAATGCGGGGTAAACCCCAATCCATCTCCCGACTTGCATCTCCCGAGCACACCTCTTCGCATATCTCCCGAGTCTAACTCTTCCTCCTGCATCATCAACAAGTTTTAGCCATCTTGGCTATTTCCCAACCTTACGACAAGAGATTCGCCAAACCTCCAGAACGTTCTGCTGCGGAAAAACTCCCAAACCTCACCCCATTACCCCATGTAGAATATTGACACCACCCTTCATGCATCTCGAATTTTTCACCTCAGCACTTCTCGCATCATGTGTCGCTCACCATGTGTAAATTTCCCAATCTGGTATCACCAGGACCGAGCGATTGGGTAGCGGCCCCAACTCTCGATATACCGGTGAAGAGACATGGATCTTCATGAATATTACCACCTGAATATATATTGATACCACCATAAGCTTATCCCGATCCCGAACAAATTTACAAATCACACCGTACATCCACAATGCACATATCATGACTCCACGATAACATGATTATCCAAGTCCCCCAAGCCATACGAATTTCTCTCCACGGGAAGTGTGTGTTTGGTGGTGGTCACATATGCCAATCAAATAGCCCTATCCCATTTCTTCAACTCCCAACCCAAAGCCTGTATAGCTGACGCTTATCTTACATCCCAATCCGTATGTCTACATTCCAGACAAAACCTAGAAAGGAAAGATAGGCTAAAAGCACATGAACCGTTGTCTTAACCCAGCCCGCAGGACGGTAATCTTGAGGCTTGGGGGCGTAGATAGACGGTTTGTGATTTGTGAGCAAATTTGTCCTAGGGATGCGACTGTCGATTCTTAGTGGCGAAGTAGTAGTTATGTGGACTTTGACTGAATAGGCGATATAGGGGAGTAGATGAATGGGTAGCTGGATGAGGGAAGCTCTCGGGCCTTAATGTCGTATGGCTCGGGTTCGTCGTGTAGATACATTGGCTGTGGATATTGACGGGATGGTGAGGGCGAAAACAATTCTTAATACATGATACGTATGATCTAGTCTGATATACTACGTTCGGCATCCAACATTTAGTCTTGTGATTGCCTCGCAGAAAAAACATAACGTCAGAACTACAAGTAAGATTCGGAGAAAGGCAGAAAGACAAATCTGATCCTGGTAGATTAGATCATAAAGTGCTTATCATATGAAACAAATGAATAAAATGTTGATTATGAGGAATAATCTCCATGTGGAACCATAAGTTTACGTACGATCGATGTATTTATCACGGTAAGCTCAAGGTTCTTCCCTAAGCCCTGACTGTATCGAGTTCCGACAAACCAACAAGTAATTCTATGTACATCACACTAAATTCGTACGATTAAAAGTTGTATCTAGAACAATGTGCAGGATACTGTAGGATATAGCAAACTATATATTATGTTATGTGTGAAGATACTTCTTGACATGCATGCTGATATGCATGTAAGAATGATGATTGGCTTACTTTCCCCCAAATAGCCTGCACGCGTACGATAAGATCCAGTTACACATACACACATAAGCTCCCCAAAGATCAGACGAAGATATTAGATGTCGAAATCTAGGAGCGCTTGTTTGTGAAAAATACATGTTGAGTGTGTATATGCTAAACCCAAGGAGCAGTATCGTGCATATGCAGTCTTCGTACATCTCATATCGTCTTAGCGGCTGTTCCCTCGAGTTCTGTTTCAATCCCGTGTTGATGGGAAAAGGCTCTCTAGTGGGCCAACTTCCGGGTACTTTTACGACAACCGGACCAACACCACCCTGATTTCTGACCATTGGCAATTTTTTCCGCGGCTGCTCCGTAATGATAACAGTTTGCCCTATGTCTTCAACAAATGTTTCCAGCATAAATGCAAGGAATGTATCGACATCGGAAAGGATCGACATGGCTCCCAGACTGGCTCGCACCACGCCCGTAGGCTTTCCATTGATTATCTCCGTGTTGTCAGATTCGCTACAGCGATGACCAGCTGACCAAGCTCGCTTGAAGTGCCAAGGTGCTACCTTGAGATAACTTGCGATGCCTCCAGGGTTGCAAAGCCCACCAGCTCTTACGTATATGTCTTTCCGGTTGGCTAATTGTTCTACTGTTGAATACGACACGTAACTACCGTCCGACCGTAGAATATTGAATGCTACAGTAGCACCCTGGGTGGTGGCGTCTGTGTAAGGGCGGACATTAGTTGCGTCATGGTATATTTCGCAAACAGGCAGACCATTAGAGTGGCGAATGTTTGATAGGCCTTCGTAGAGGCGCCGAGTGAGGAACATCGTATGCTTGGATATGTTGATCATTGAGCCATAAAGGCTAAGGTGCACATCAATGGCACACCCCAGTGCGATAATCGAATGAAATGGTAATGTACCATCTTCTAATCCGTCATGAATCGTGGCATCTTTCCTGTGGTAAGATGCCTCATGTATTACCGTTAGAGACGATACTGTACCGCCGCCGAAGTACTTACGCCAAGTTAGGATATGTGCCGAATTCCTGCGAACTATCAGAGCTCCTAGATCGGGGAAGCCAAATATTTTGTAAAACGAAAGGACGGTAAAATCAGGAGACGCGTCGGGATCACTGAAGTCAAGCTGAGTTGTTGTCGCAAGGCCTGCAGCGTCTAAGAGAGAATAGGTATTCTGATGTGAAATGCGAGTCGACCCCCGTAATTTTTTACTCCAGGAGAGAGGTAGTCGACGACCAGTCATATTTGATTGCCCCGGAAATGCAAGGATTCCTGGCGTTTCATCATCTTCCCTTCTTCCTGGAAGAGATCTGTAGCCAAGTAGCCAGTCCTCTACTTCTTGGTCGCTTGTGAAGCAGTGATGCTGTCCATTGGTATGTTCTCGCGGACCAACGAGACTCGTATGAGCATCTTTATGATAGCCGTACCAAAATGATCCCGACGTCGAACTCTCTAGCGCCAAGTCTCTAAAGCTTTCTGCGACCAATTTGATCGCTGCGGTAGCATTTGCAGTGAAGACGAGGTCAAAATGAGTAGGATCGGCCCCAAGAAATCTCAATGCCTTTTCACGCACGGAGTCGACGACATGCCCCGAAAGTTGCGCTGGGGCTGATGCCGAGTGTGGATTTCCAAAGAGATTTTCCACCATCTCTTTGGAAAATTTGTCAATTAGAGACTTCGCATAGATAGCTACATGTGTCATGATTAGCGCTCCGTAACTTAGATAATCATTCAGGACCAGAAGTATAAATCTGGCTCTCTGACGAGTAGTAAGGCAGAATATCAGAAATCATAACTCAAAATCAAAGGGATAATAGGAGTGATATTTTGAAGTCTTACTTGTGCCCGCATGGTCAAGATAAGTTTTCCCTGTTGTAATTTAGCGATTGGGGATTCTATCAGCTCGGAATCTTTGTCTAAACTTACCCTTCATCATAGGGTATTCTTCTTCTCTGAAGGCCTCAACCTGTCGGTTATATGCCATGGTGTTGAAATTTTGAGAATTCGGTTTTGTATAGAGACAGTTACAAGAAACAACCGAAGACAACTACCCATTTCTTTATGTACAAGTTCAGAGGACTTGGAGCAAGACGGGTTAAAAGGAAAAAAGCGCTCAGGCTAATAGTAGCCTGTGACCGTAGAGCTCTAAGTAAGCTGCTATTGGCGACACCTTTACTTGGAGGCACAGCCGTAAATTTTCAAGATGATTGCCGGAAAGAGAGAATATTGGCCGTATTGGATCCAAGTAGATTCAACGTCTCTTGAAGCTTTTGAAGCAAGTCTGTAGGGCTAGTATTAGTCATCTAACTTACTGTTTGATTCCATCGTTTTCAACCTGTAAGCGGCCAGGGATTGCCTCTAGTAGAAGTTTAAATGCTTACTGTACTTAAAGGGAACAAGCCCATGATCAAGATGAGAAGAAAACGCTGACGTGCCGTATGAAAATAGAACCGGTAGCAATGGATATCCAAAAAAGGAAGTCGCCCGATCATGAAATGGCTGTGCACCAGCTCTGAATGGTGCCTATCACAAAGTGGTTTCCTTAGCGGATATACCCGCTACCACAAGATTTCTAGGCGGCGCCCATCACTCACTGCCATTTGTCGAATTGACATGTTTCCTGCGAGTACCAACTGTAGTGTGGACCAGCTCAATCAATATTGGACAGACCGCGATCTCGTACGCCAACCTGAAGATCTGGACTTTTCAACGGGTGACATTCTATTTTTTCCTCTTCCATTTGTCAATCGCGCGAACGGTTTCAACAAACCGAGCGCAAGATATCTGCTCAGCTGAGAGAATTAACAATTCAACTCAGTTGTGATAATGAATTCGAACAATGGCACCTTGAGTACGTTCAGTGAACGTCGTGATCGATTCAAAATTCACTACCCTAGTCGTTGAGTAATTCTTGGTGAATATAGACCCATGAGCAGACTATTGATCTCGATCGAGATATAGATTGGACGTGTGACGATTTCGAAACGTCAATATTACACACTAAAAAGCACCTTAATTGATGATCAGTACGCCTCTTCGAGCGTAAGTTCCACAACGATGAAGAACATATTTTAAGCCGTGTATTCTTAGACGGTGATTGATGGCGTTTCAAAGATATCTCAGCTTGTATGCAGTGCCGATATCGTAATGGATGTTGAGCCAAGGGGCAGATTAATGATAATGAAATCTTCAGCCTTGTTGGGTTGGTAATCGATAGCGTGATACAAGGGTGTACAGGTGGGAAGGAATAGACGATTGAGGCTCACAGTATCATTGAGTAAGTGCCAATGTATCGTTGTTCCTGTGTTTGTTCGTTGTTCGTTGTTCGTTGATTTAAGGACAAGCGCTTATCAGTGGGGGAAAAGCTCGCTCCGATACTGCTATAGTCGAGCTCAATAGCCTCCCACCGCAGAGCAAGCGCTTGCGACAAGCGTTAATTCGTAGTTGAATGATGTTGATTGGTTGAGGTTTGCTGGTACCTTGTGGGAGGTCGGCGACCATATGATATGGTCCCCGATTTATAAATTAATATTGTATACGAAGAACCCCTCGGAACTTAAAAAGAAAGGATATGTCGTGACAGTCAAGAGTGAATTAAAGTTTGGGTGTTACGCGCCTCAAGTTTGCAGAAGTTTTGTGTTGCAACATTGAATTTGTGTTGATGTCAATCACGTGTGTACGTGAGGCCCAAGCAATTTGAGATATTATTGTCGGAACTAGAGTGCTACAATGTGAGCATTTCCTTGAAACCTGTCAAGTTATCCGACTTTGTTGAATTTTAATTTGCCTGTCTCTGTGAATCCATTACCGGTGAAGCAATGCCAAAGAAAATGGAGCAATGGAGATAGGTATGGTGAAAGACTCGCCGTGTTGACCAAACCCCGTGCTGGCCATGTCCATTTGTTCAATTCGCCTCGTATGCTGAGAATAAGTGCCAACTATTTGAGTGACCTGGTCTCAATTATCACCTTAAATGGCGGTGGAGATGATCAGGTGTGCTCTCCGACTGGTAATATTACCTCTGTCTCTGCAATCAGCAACCAAGACGTATGCTCGCCCCAATCTTACAATCTCCTTCAGGCAAGCCATAATCAGTTGCCTACCTTCAAGTCGTTTCTATGAAAGGGCCTTGTGGAGCACGGGTCAGTGTATGTGGAAGTCTGCATACCCAAGATACCTAGGTATTGAATGATCAGACTCTGCCACAAGACCTTCGAGAGGGATTTGAAGTACTGTCGTAAGACTTCTAGCACGTAGTCCGAATAGGTGTAGAATCTCCGCGCTTATACAGCATTTGAATATTGAGAGAACTGACATCTTCCAAACCTTGGATAGAATCACCGGACATCGGTCTATGAAAGGGATTCTATTCATCTGAGAGTCAATGCTGTAGGCACCTGGCGCGGTATCTTTCACTGTAAAACATTTAGTTTCAAAGCTATACACCAACTCTACCCTTACTGAATCTTGGCATACTCACCCTGCTTTAAAAAAACTTCCTTCTCTGTTGCTGTGTTTTTGTGAGTTTAACAATCTTTAAATTCGAATTTTGAACACGAGGAGAAACCTTCATTCGCTACGGACAGCCCTCCAAAGGAAGGTATGAAGCATTTGATATAGTGTGAAAACTGCTGAATCGAATGCCGAAGTCGATGCTATATGAAGAACTGCTCCTGCCGGCACTTGGCCTGCATGATACACCTTCGGCGAATGATTCGGGGACTGATGGTATCGGAAGAATTCTGGATGGCTAATATGCATTGTAGACAACTACGGGAGAAGGAAATCATGCAGGCAAGGTGCAGTCTGCGAGAAAGTCGACCTGACGGTCAATTGTCACTTCTGCTGTGTAACAATCATGCAAGGCACGGGTGCTTGACCTGAAAAGGCCGCAGATTGACTGCTGGAAGTATTTCAACCGATCATTAAGTGAGAAGATGGAATAAAACTACGATGCGCAGTTCCAATCGCGTTGAACATGAGATACGACCATGAACTTGAATTATTGATATAGGGTTCCATCATGGCTAGAACTGACTAGATATATATCTTGCTGGACCCAGCAGATGCGAACAAGCTGCCCATATTTATAGCAAAAACAAACCGGAAAGTGCTGTTATGAACAAGAAATCCTGATGTACTAAGTTGAGTAATATATTCGGTTGAATCTTATAATGCTGTTATTGATGTTGACCTGCCTGTAAAACTCCTTTCTTGGATGGACAACCACTGTAGATATGCATGCCATTGGCGATTGCTACTGCAGCGACATGACAGGAGAGTCCAAGCACCCCCAATCCAGCGCAAATCGATTGATATGCATTGGAACTTGCATGAAGCTGGGATTCCATGCACCATATACAGACAATGTCAATATTCCTCACTTTTCCCAGTCCATGCTGGCATCACGACTTATGATCGTAAATCGTCAACATGAATGAAATGACTCGTGTTCATGTTTCTCAGTATCTTTGAAGTTACCTGAACAAGCTCTGTATAAAATTCATAGGAGTTATCATGCGTTAGCGGCGCACACCAGCCTCGTGTTTTTGAAGCAACTGTGGTGTTCTAAATTTGTGACGGCTGCCAATTTTGTCACCTCGGAAAATGACACTATGAGACATGTTGCAGTACCCAACACGGGGATTACGTCAAAACGGCCCTGGCATCCATCTACCTTAATTCGTACATGACTGCAGGTGTCAATCAGGATGAAACAAATATTAGTTCAAGTCCCGATTTTGGCGTCTCACTAAGATTTCCGGGCCTCCGCTTTTATAAAAACCAAGTGATTGAGAACTGTACGAAAAGAGTCGTGAAAAGAGAACTGCTGAAAGATCGCGACTTGGCCAAAGAACTCCCTAAAAGAGATGCGGGACGAGAAAGAAATAATTGTCTAACGTTGATTCAGAAAAGATATGTAATCGTAGCCGATATTACCATGGATGCGAGCTCCAATTTCATGTTTAGTGCGTTCGGATATCAGCATCGTACAAATTCGTGTTGGCGCTATCTAGCCTAGCTTCCCCCCAAACTAAAATGATCCAGGAACAACAATCTTGCAGTCGATCAAATCAGGTATTAAGTGTGGACGATGTGGCTATCATCTCAACCCCTCCTAATCCAAAGGGAAACCTGCTAGATGCTGACGCGTTTTGTCCTTGGAGAATTTTTTCTTCAAAGATCCCTATTTCAGCGGTCAAAGAGAATGTCTAGTGACTGATATCCCCGCCACTAGTGGTCAACAATGGACATGTTCCGACTGGAACCAAGGCTTTTAAACCACGGTTAACGGCTCATGCATTGAGATTACGTGTAATATGTTGCAGAATCATTCCCTATTATGATCGCCAGGAATTCCATTCTCGACATGTGTTCCCTGGACCCAAGGGAAACATATATAGGCAAGCTAAGTTGGGATGATGCTTATCAGATCGAAACCCCTCGGAAATCCGCTAGATAAGCTTGCTTGCTTCCGTACATGGTATCATGACGATCAAAAAGTGAAAGATTTTGTTTGTTTGTTTGATCGCATTCGCAATAAGACATCCGGCGGATTTACCTCCAATACGTCCATTACGGAAAGTCTTAGGTAGGTAGTGTAGATGATCAACTTCTCGGAGTTTTGAAAAAGTAACTGTCGCGAACCTCATATAGAATTGGATTGAAAAGGTATGCCGCATCAGATTTTGTTTCTGAAAAATGGTTCCAATCAATGCCGAATTTCGATGGCTCTTTTGCTTCCCTCGACTTTGCCTGTATCAACCGATCAGAGCCATAAGATCGATCATCTCGTCTCTAGACCCCAAAATGGCCCCTGTGCCGCGTGAAATATATGTTCCATTAATTATGCCGCACATGTAGTCAGCTCGATCATGGATTTCAGGTCTCGAGCCTTATGGTCAACCCAATCAGTAAAACATAAGCCACAAGACTCAGCGTCGTCAAAACAACCACGGCATTCCCACTGGTCCTAAATTTCTTCCTTCCCATGCCATCCCCATCTATCTCGCTGAAGAATTGTCTGTTGCCCTCATACCTCCTATACAGGCTGACCATTAGAATGCCGGCTCCGTATGTCGCAAATAAGGCCCCAATACTGTAGAATTCGGCCGTAAAGATCTTTAATACTACCAAAGCGAAACTAAATTGTCCCAAAGCAGTCCTTATATATGCTCCCTCAAAGGTTCTTTGTGCGGCTCGAATTTCCACAAGCCTATATTGTTTTCAAAACACGTCAGCCAGTGTATACATATATAAAATCCCGCACTACTTGTTGCTCATTTCAAGGCCAGAAGGGGAAATAAAAGGGGACAAACTCTTGCGCCGTTAAAATAACGGATCTCGCTCTATGTAAGCGCAAATGTAATCTGTCTTCCGGATGTGGCTCCAGAACATTTAGCAGGGTATTCATGGTGATGGTGGAAGTTGTACATAGTATAGAAATACTTTAGCACCAGTAGAGGTAGATAGATGAGACTGGATAAATACCTCGAACATACCGACGAATCGGCTCAATCCATGAGTAGACATTCCGTAAGTACTTAGGTAATATACGAAGTAGGTAATTATACGGGGTACAGGGGGATTTGTTGAGGGCTTTGTCCGTATCACATTAAATGATGTGCTTGTTGGAGAAGTTCACGGCGAATGATGATGAGGTTAGAGCACGACATCACTCATGGTCCTAGCTGGGTGCCTGAGGCATATACAGTCTCAATTGCTCGCCATAAATACTAAGGCATTTATTTCATTTCAATGACCTCACATATATGTAAGACATGTATACAAATCTGGCACTCATTCTTTGAGTCTTCTTGTCTTTTCGAATGGATAAAACCAGTGGGTGATAGATTAAATCCTGTCCATGTATCGCTACATTCACATAAATTGCCCAGGAGTGAAGCAATCTAGTTAATCCCTGCCTTTTCTGATAATATCTCTTCCTTTCTGCTCATTTGTCTAATAAGGTGTCCATGGAAAATCCCCCGCCGTCATGAGATTACTTGGATGCATCCCACTTCAAGATATCAAAAAACCAAATGATAAACAAAGAAAATCGCTGTCTCTTTTTCCTCCTAAAAAGAATTATAGTAAAAAGTAGTCGCTTTACCAGTCCGTTTAGTATCGTTTCGCATGATGATGACCCCAATGTTCCGAGTAAAGAAATTCCCAAACTTTCCGTGTCCAGTATATACAAAAAGGCGCTTTCCGTCTTGTTCATTCAGGACTTCGAGCGAGGTTACATTTATAATCGCGCCTGGCGAAAAGCCCTTATCGCTTTCGCTTTTCCCCGCCCAGATTTTACCCCAATCGCGAGAACTGTGGTATCGAACAGTCAATATATGCCGGAATAATAACCAATTCCATGCGCCAATAATCCAGAAACGTAACCGTGATCCGCGATGTGCTGTTGTTCGATTGAAATGTATTCCTTGTTCCGCTAACGGCCTGCTGCATGTGGCTGGCCAGCATAATAGACCCCGCCTCCAGAACTGCTATATCCGCCATATCCTCCCACACTTTCTTCTTCTTCTACAATGCGCTGTCCTCCTTGAGCACCATTCCAAGAAGCATATGTATCAACTCCAGGTGAGACTTTCGCATAACCGCCAGTATACGGTTGATTCCAGCCGGTGTAAGGTCCCGCCGATATTGGAGTTGCAGAATGTGTGTAGGCTGTTCCAATTGTTGACGCGGATGAGATCTCGGCGGCGGAATGTGGATGTGTAGTTGTGATATTTGGCGGATATATTGCACCGTTTGAAGCACGGGTTCTCGCAGAAGCGTATGAATCCGGCGGGTTAGGAAGTCCATAAGCGGAATGTTGATGGCTGTTCTGCATTCCTTCCAAGTTGCTATACGAAACAGATCGCTGTGGTGCTGGCCATTCCGGCTCTCTTGGATTTGTTTCAGGCTGACCGTGATGGCCTCTGCTTTGCCAGTTTTGCGCATTGGCAAGGTGCATGTTAGGGGTGGTGTAAGGTGAGAACCCTGGAGTCATTGGAGATTCTTGGGAGGCAGGCCAGTAATTTCCAGACATGTCTGCTGGAGGTTTGGTACCTGGAGAGACTTCTGGTGCCATCCAAGCTGTTTGACCACCATTATAGTCAAAGTTACGTGATGAAGTGACGACTGGAGAACCCGTTAGTATGAAAATACATGGAAGTCAAATTACATACCCTTGTTATCGGGAGAAAAGCTTTCGTTCCTTTCTTTTTTGACCTGAGATCCTCCTAGGTTCTGGATTGATGGCATGCTTAGATGGTAAGGAAGATTAGGCTGCATGTCGGGTATCTGGCTAGATGGAATAGACGGTGAAGATGATTGAGAGGTTCCTCCAGTTCCACTTGGGGCTTTGGAGCCTCGACGCTTAGGTTCTGGCTGAGGCTGTTGGTCGACTGGATAGAAATTGCATTCCTTTTTTAATCTAATGCAATTTGAGCATCGATTCTGAGGATCTGCTGGAGCCGGTATACATCTAATCTTGCGTCGACGACAGTGACCTATGACGATAAGTTAGCATATTCATTAATCTTTCGCTTCGTCTTAAAAGATAGATCGCATCTGTCTTCGATAGACGAGAACAAATCTTACCACAAGCTACCGACGTTCTATGATAACCTAATTTGTTTCTTCTCTTATCATTAACCAAGGCCAAGGCAGCCGCATCAGTATTGTTAGAGGTTCTGATATTTGGAGTAGACATTGATCGTTTTGCTTTGGATTCTTTTGTCGCTTTTGATAAGGAAGAAGCTTCAAGTTCCCGGGTAGATGGAGATGGCCCTTGCCCATGTAAAGGTGAGTGAGATCGAATTGGTTCCATATGATGATCGTAACTGGGCATCATATTTTGGTCGAGACCTTGATTCATGGTATGATACGGGTAGGCCATTGGGGATATCTGATTTGGATTTCCTCGTGAGAAGTTGTGATGTGGTAAATCGGCCATACTCCAGGGACTGGACTTGGAGCTGAATGGACCTTGAACAGAGACGGCCATCAATCGAGGCTATTTTCGCGTATGATGTCGAGTGCCAGTGAATATCTTCCCTCAATAAAATAACTGTTTGTCGCCAAAACTAAACTTTTCCACGACTTCGACGATAACTGACACCAAGAAGGAAAAGTCTTATTCCTGAAGATCAGGGAATAATTATACAAACATTCACTACTTGACGCTTTTCAAATTTAGTTAAAAGATACCCCAAAGGTGGATTGAATCCGAAGGAGCGAGCTGACAACGGAGTTGTGTTTGATGAGGTCGAATTAAGCAGGCTGCGGCACTTTTTATTGGCGTCGAAAGTTGGTCTGGGGACAGTCGAGCGGCAAGAAAACGCATTAATTTCAGTTGCGCACCGATTTCAGGGACTTCACGAGCCCATTATTATTGATCTTCAGGTATGTAATATGCAGGATGATAGGTGAATCGAAGGGAATCTGTGGCTTGAGGTGTGGTAGAAAGAACTGACTACTCGTACCAGGTAATTCCAAGCGGAGAGAAACAATGCTTCTTGGGGGGATAAGCAGCCCGTGGGAGTTGAATAGCCCTGACGACGAATGGGAGAAGAGGAATGCACGCCACAGCAGGACAGTCTAGAAATCCTATTTTTTTAGGGTTGGACGTTGAGATATCGGAAGTTATAAACGATGATTACAATTCTTCAACAGCGAGTTTGTGGCCAAGAAAATGATCGTTAAGAAATGAGAGGGAAAAGATGGAAAGAAGTATGACAAGTCTAAGCAATTTTTGATTGACGTTGGTTCTTTCGAGAACGATTTAAGATGTGTGGCAAGGAAGATGGTAAAGCTTTCTTCAGGAAGTATAATCTATACAAAGGGATCAACAAATCTTTCTGGAGGCCATGCGACGACACCAACCAGCAGCTCCACCCCCTGGGCATTGGCAACCCGGATCAAAAATGAATGCCTGTCAGCTCCAGCTCCATCTACAGCCCTAGCATGCCTTACCATGTACCTGGTATCCTGGTATCCTGGTATCCTTGTTCTTCTGGCGCCATCGTTTCTATTCTGATGTCCTACCTAGTCCATATTCTACTGAACGTCGGTGGTTATCTTGGTCCGCTAAACCATATTGCACACTCATAGGACATTATCATACTAGGACTAATAGTGTCAAATCTCAAGAGAGACAATGCTCATTGTGGCTCGATAAAGGAAGGCTCTAGAGTGGAAGTATACCATGATGGGACCAACGAGAGCTTTTAGCAAACAAAGAATAATGACCCATTTATTCGGTAATTATTCTTGGGATCTACCATGCGTGGATTGGCTATATTGATATAATATGGAAAGTGGGCTTTCTTTCGTTCGTCGGGGGTGAATTGGAATTTGGAAAGTTCATCAATAGAGTTTGTCGTGCATATCAGAGGTTTCTCGCATATTCATTGGAACAAGGTATTTTCCTGCTTTTTCCTGGTCCACTAACTACAGAAACTACAAAACTCATCATTCTATAAGTCAATTCACCTAAGGATTGGTCTTGAAAGCTGTTATGAGCTAACAGTTGGCGGGTACCGCCGCTTAACACCCTGACAAACCTGTCAAGTGCGACCGATAGTCCATATTTGGTGCTGACGACTCGCGCGAATCGGCGAGCTTCATAGCTACTTTGTTCGATAGTACAGTATTGCATTATCAAACGTTAGTATGCAGCCACACCAATAAATTTGAATTGCCTCTAAAGAGCGTGACAAGCCTAAGTTGTAAAACTAAGACCACATACGCCCCGGCTCCTGGCTACCTATTGCTCGAGCGAAGATTACTTGCTGTTTTCTTCAAGCGATGAATATGTTCCGTACATATTTAAAGAAAAGTTGACAGCGGTTGATATGCTTCCTATGGTTGCACTCTTCCTTCATTGATCTTCCTACAACGCCGAGTGACGATGATTTGCAGAATGCATCGACGCTCCTTGTAAAAACAATTTAATGAAATCCAGATCCGAAGAATAGTCCAAGTCTTTGAGATGGATGCACATCTAGTTCCGCACTATCGTGGATTTACCTCTCCACACAATGGCACACACTCAACCCACCCTCTCAATACAAGCCCCTTGACCCTTGAAGCTTTTGGTAGTACCAAGGTCCAAATGAAGTAATATCTAGGTATCATTCGGAACTATTTGTGTTCTTTGAGAATACGATGTATTTTCCTGTATTTTTTCTTACATTTATGCATACCAACACTTTAACTTTCTCCTAGATCCGATACCAGCATACTATCAAAACGAGCTCCCAAATCAGAAACCCCAACTCCGTTACTTCAGATCGGGTATTACGAAAAGCATGAAATGGGTAAAGGGTAAATGACTCTTGGCCTGTCCACCGCTATCTTCCATTTCAAAGATTTCATCTTGTCCTCATTGTCAATTTTAGCTGACTTTGTGTATCCCTTCTAAGTTTCAACGCAATGCTATGAGGGAAACAACCCCGGTTCTAGTCTCCGAGCGTGTCAGCGGCTGGGCTCTTTTGGAGATTACGGAGTATAAGTGTTGCATGGATCATAAACAC